TGCTATTTTTTAATGCTTATGAGCATTGTTTAGTTCAAAAAAAAAAAGAAATTCAATGTAATTTACAAGTCCATAAAAGTTTAATTAAAGTGGTTTATGTACAAGATAAACTAAAAGAAAAGTGTGAAAAGTATTAAGTACAGTGTTATGTGCATTTATATATATAAAAGTATGCACAAATGCTTTTTTGTTAAGGAAACCAAGTGGAACAACTTAAGAAATTTTAACAACAAATAACTTATAAACAATGATATTATTTATATTTTTTAGTTATACATGTTTTAGAGGATACCTCCCTTAACATCTTGACCAAGTTTCATTTGTTAATTCCACCTGGTTTTCTTAAAACACAAGGTGCGGCTGACTACTAAAGCCCACCCATCGCAACTGTTATGCTAAAGCAAACAGCATCCTTTTCCAGTTTTCCTAAATTTCTGATCCGCCGGAAATGGCAACGCAACTTTTCCCACCTACCACCAGCTGATTACAAAAACGTGTACGCAAAGCAAATTAAGCAAAAGATGGAGTTGGAAGTTATATCTGATAAAAAAGTGGTATATATTTGATGTAAATCTTTCGGTTATGTGTAGCCTAAACATTATTTAATTCAACAGGACACAGTAGATCCTCCAGCGAACAGTGTTAGTGCACCTGGACGCGTAATAAAGGAACGCAGCGCTGAAATTGTTTCTGGCGGCAGCGTCTTCTACAATCCAGTGCAGGAGTTTAATCGTGATTTAAGCATTGCTGTACTCAATGTATTTGCAAGACGCCTGCTCAAAGAAAGAAAAGGGGCGCATAAAATTTCAAGAGAATCGGCAGAAAATGCTACAGGTGACGAGGTGAACGGAGAAAGTGCGCTCTACACCGCTGGAGTCAAATACGAAAATGGCATTCGCATATTGGAAGCACTTTCTGCAACGGGTTTGCGTAGTATTCGATATGCAAAAGAAATCGCTGGAGTTCGTGAAATTATCGCCAATGACCTTTCCAAGGCTGCAGTTGAATCCATACTTGAAAATGTACGGCACAATGGCGTTGTAAATTTAATCGAACCAAGCCAATCGGATGCCATGTAGCATAAGTAAAGTACCCCTAGAAACAACTTTTAACTATCTAATTTTTGCAGGACTCTAATGTATCTATCTACATCTAATCATAAGCGCTTTGATGCTATAGATCTGGATCCGTACGGGTGCCCAAATCGTTTCCTAGATGGAGCTGTACAATCAATAACCATCGGCGGATTACTGCTGGTAACAGCAACGGATATGGCAGTTCTAGCTGGAAACACACCCGAAGCATGCTATGCCAAATATGGATCTGTACCGTTGCGCATGAAATGCTGCCATGAAATGGCTTTACGCATTTTGCTACATAGTATAGAGACGCATGCAAATCGCTATGGAAAATACATTGAACCGCTTTTAAGCATTTCGGCCGATTTTTATGTACGGGTCTTTGTAAGGGTGCATAGCAGTCAAGCAAAGTGTAAATATAGTATGAGGTTGGTTAGCATAGTGGATATGCGAATACGACGATTAATACCAGTTTGTAAATAATTTAAATTTTTATACAGCAAGCAGTCGATAATCTTCCAATGCACCGGTTGTGATACATTTACTCTGCAGCCGATGGGCAATGTAAAAACAAATACCACAGACAAAGGCCAGACTCAAACGAAGTTTGGAATTCCCACAGGACCATACATCGGCACGAACTGCGCCCACTGTGGACATAAGCATCATGTATGTAAATTTAGCAAGTTCGTGTCCCATTTTAATTAAATTGTATTTTACATTCACTGCAGATGGGCGGCCCACTTTAGTCTAACCCCATACATGACAAGGACTTCGTGAACGAATTACTGCAAACAATAGAGCAAAAACCGCTTTCTGACTTGGGCACACAAAAGCGCTTGCAAGGTGTCTTATCTGTGGTGCATGAAGAACTACACGACGTCCCTTTATACTATGTATTAGATAAACTTTGCTGTGTACTAAAGTTGGAAAATATACCGGTGCTCAAATTTCGCTCCGCGCTTTTACATGTAGGCCACCGTGTTTCGTTTTCACATGCCTGTAAAAATTCAATTAAAACCGATGCACCCGCAGCAGTCCTGTGGGATATTTTGCGATGTTGGGCCAAAAGGCATCCAGTAAAATCTGATCGTATGGTTGAGGGCACACCGCTTAAAGCTATATTGGAACGAGAGCCTGAGAAAGAGTATATTTTTGACGACATACATCCTGAGGCAAACCCCAACAGCCGACGCAATGCATTAACACGTTTCCAAGCAAATCCAACCGCACATTGGGGACCGGGCACAAGGGCGACTATAATGTGTGTATCAATTATTACTTATGTACATACATATGTACTAAACTGAAATCAAAATTTTTGGTAATTATTTTCTAACAGGATTGGCCAAGACAAGGTAGCAAAGAGTCATCGTAATCAAAACAAAAAACAAAAGCAAAGAGACCATATAAATTGCACACCTTCTGAAAAGAGCGATGAAGAACAACAAAGTAAGAGCAAACAACCAAAACTAGAAGCGTGATCCGACATTTGATTTATTTAGTTATATTTTTATTGATCGGAAATACAATAAAAAATATTGTAGGTTAACTTGGATAACTTCTGTATTTTTAATTACAATGTGGCCATCCTTAGAAGGTGAAATCTATTTGCATTACCTTAATAAACTCTTTAATAAGTCCATGGTACATGATACAGTAATGATAATTGCTAATAACGAAAGAAATTTCCATCTCCTGTCTGTCTTGAAAATCCGTTGTTCACCAGTTGAGTATGCACGCCACTATTGATCAATTTAACACTATGTGGTGAAATCTTCTCTTTCATACCACCAATTTTCAAAGGATGATCTTGCTGGTCACTTGAAGGCAACTCCACTGCCTTAACATTTTTTAATACACGAAAGGTTGCCAGTTCGACTATACTATCAGGTCCACAGCCTTCAATCCTTTGGTAAGGACATGTTTCTCGCTGCAACAATGTATCTACACGCTCTGGAAATACTTCACGGGAATGATCGTAACGCGCTTGCAACTGGAAATCCAATGAATCGCGTGGTATTTCTGGTGTTGCAATGAAACGTTTACTTTTTCGCACGGAATTCAAGGTCTGATGATAGAATAGTCTTTCGTGTGGCTTCAAGTTTGTAAACCACAATACACCTTTTGGCACTGGCGGCGGCTGAGGCATGGGACAAAGATAAATGCCCTCGGGAGACAAATCTGGTTCATACCAGACATTCCGCACGCGTACTTTAATTTTTGGCTTTATGTTAGTAGTGCACGCCATTTATTTTTTTAACTTCCGTTATTAGAATTTATATAAAAAATATGGATTATAAAAAAAAATAATTATTGAGTTTAAAATTGGATCTGGTTTGTTGACAGTAAATGCCTTTGCTTACTAAGCAATAAATAAATAAAACCATGGAAATTAAATAAATCTGTGTTCGTATGGAAAAGTAGCTTATGTCGAAAGGCTGGCTTTAGTATAATGCGGCAATCCCTTTATTTTTTAAACGGCAAGGAATTTTTTGATGAGACTTAATAAGAATATTGACTTGCTCTTATCGGAACTATTTCTTCCACGTTTATTTGCCAAAAGTTGTTCAACGGCTTATCGCCAGTGAGTCATTCGCAATCGTATGCTGTGAATGCCGATTTATACTAAAGCCAGCCTTTCGACATAAGCTACTTTTCCATATGAACACAGAAATAAGAGCGAACCATTTGGTCAACAAAATAAAAAAACCAAGGTGATCGAAATAAATAATATAGCGGAATACACATTTCGTGGTCATAAAGCGATGGTGTTCTCGTTACAATATACATAGGTTATAAGCTAAACTTTAGCGACTAAAGTTTTATAACCAACCTCGTTTGATTTGCAAAAACCAAACTTCATATACCTTAGTCAGTTTGTCGCTGTAGCGGCACTAATAAGTACTGCCTAAATCGGATATTATCGGGCCGATTCTGAATAGAAACTCCCTGGGAGTTTTATCTTTTCCCTTTCCTCCTATCCTGAATAAAAATTACCCGAGGATTTTTTATATTAAATGGCGGAGTTGAGCTGTCAAAAGCGTGTCAAATAGCTCTCTCAAACTTCGAATTTCCTCCCAAATTTCCGGAAAAATATTACTCCCTAGGAGTTAATTATTGTACGATTTCTTTCTCGGGAGCAACAAATTCCCGGAGAACAAACTCCCTGGGAGTATTCAGAATTCGGCTATATATCATTCGCCGTCGCCAAGCTCAACCATCGGTATGCCAAGGAAACTTGCGAAAGGGGACCAAGCTAAGTGGGTTTAAGATGGCTAGGGCAGAGATGGTGGGTGTGTTATTATTGTTGTCGAACTTCCTCCGAGCTTTTGAGTAATGCAGCTGCGGTGTCAGTCCTTTATCAGATATAGGGTGTGTTCGAGCTACGTTATAATTACCGCAATATTGCAGCCTTGTTGCTTTCTTGATGACATGTTGCTGATGCTCAAAATATTGTCATGGAATCCAATTGTTGTCGGAATTGGATTTAAAAACGACAAAAAAATTACTTTGGTGTCATGAAATCCAATGTTATCGGTTTTATGTTCGAATCGGAATTAGTGTCGATTTTAGGTGTCACAGATACCAATAATATCGATTTTGGTATCGGAAACAAACCAAGCAGCTAACGGCTGTTGGATTTCATTTGTTTATTAGTTTTCCTTACTTCCAGTTGGATATTTTATAAAAATGTGAGTAAAAGAATGTTTATTTTATAAAAATATTTGTTAATGTATTCATATTTTTATTCATCACTTTTTATGCTTTCCAAAAATGTCTGGCGCTACTAACGTGCCATACGAATGAGTCATGGCTAGAGCCGGGATAGAGTGCATCGACGGCTCGAATTTTCATGTCACCATCACACATCTAAATAAAAATGTACATGCATATATATAAATCAAGGCAATGTACGAGTAAAATGAAGATTCATGATTACTTACAATCAGGGCATTCATACTGAATTATTTTCGATTATAAAATAAATGTTCGTCAATACTGGGCTTAATGATTTTTATGTGTGTCCCGTCGATGCAACCAATTATTGAGGGAATTTTGTACTTTAAGTAAAAATAGTCTCTTGATATGCGCTTTTCGATGCAGTCCATTTCTAGTTTCACCCACTGAGGGCAAATGAACCGCTCCATTACCTTAAGCACATCATCTAAAATCGTTGACACCGCGCTCCTAGCTACACTTATGCTAGAATCGTTCCCAACTGATCTTTGACAGGATCCTTCTGCTAAAAATCGCAACGAAGCTGCTAACTGCAGCACTGGTGGAACTTTCGAACGTGTCAAGTGCCCTTCAATAGTGTCGAGTACCTCTTTGTTTAGGCGATAATATGCTATGAAACTGCAAATACGCTATAAATATTTATAAACGCATATTAAAAAACAATCTACTTACGCTGTCTCGGGCAGCTCAAGTGGATCGCCGAATCTCTCAAAATTTTTCTTTTAACCTTCTCGGAACTTTCTTCTTCCAAGAACAGAAATGCGATAACTGCGGATGTCATTTTGCGCTCACTTACTTTTATTTAAATTAATGAAAACAATTCAATTTAAAAAAATTGTGTCAAACAAATGTTTACATGTCATTTGTACAACACTGATTTAGCTGAAATATCACTAAATAATTATTTAAATCTATACATATTCAAACATTTCGTTGTTTACTTCCATTTTTTTTACAAATATAAGGTTCTTAGCTTTCACCGCTTTCAGTTTTTGTTTGCTTATGTAAATCAGCTGATCGTTTGACACTTTTCATGAACTTACAGGAAAAGAAACTCCGGACTAAATCCTGTAACTTCTGACTAGGAACAGTTGTTCAGTTACTCTCTCAAATGTGTTCCCACTTACAGGTTTTATGTCAATAGGAACGACTTCCTGTAAGTTCTGACTAAATCCTGTAAACCGGACTGCTATTGGAACAGACTATATGTTCGAAAAGAGCAAAACCAATCCGGTTTCATGACACCAAATGAAACCAATATTGGTTTGTAATTCCGACAAAAAGCAAAACCGACTTGGATTCCATGACAGCCCTGATTCTGAAATGCTGCAGAAATTGTGTAGTCAAAATTTGTATAATGCTTTTGATTTGCCAATGATAAGCAACTCATTGTCAAAATTTTGTTCCTCGAACGCGTGATGTAGGTAGAGTCGCCCAAATTTTCGCGTAGAACGTGATGCTCCTTCATAAAAAGTAACACTACCGCATTAATTGCAACTCGAATATATCCATACATACATATGAGCCGTTTATTTTGAAAGTCGTAGTCATTTCCACCGCATGTACCAAAATGCGTTAGTTACATATAACTGAAAGCCTCTGTAAATCGTTCAACAGTCATAACCCAAAGACAAAATGTTCAACCTTTGGTTGATGAAGTTGAACGAATAAGTCACGCGTACAGATACAGGTAAGTGATCGCTGAAGTCAAACGGTATGAAATGAGCCACTTTCAAAATAAACTGCTCACATGCACATCAGGGACATGGTACAATAAAAACAGGTAGAAGCCAAATTGACATCAAACCTACAAAAGTCAAAGTTTTCGGGAGAGTAAAAATAAAAATGAGCGTGTGTAATAAAAAATAAAAAAATACATTTCACTGGTTGACGTTTTTAAGTATATTTGAAGTTTATTCTTATTTATTTTCTTTAGTTAAAATTTGATAAAACGTGTATGTTGTTTTCTGTTTTTGTTTTATGAGTTGGTGTTGTTGGAGGGACTTTTCGGCAAAAGGGTCATAGGAACAGCACTTGGCTTCAAACGTGCCTTTCCTGTACCTTCCGGTGTATTTGTGGAATCTACTTCTTTAAAATGTTTAACGCACAGC